GGGGGTGGGGGTATACTGTTGGGTGTGGTCCATGGTTCTGTTCTTCAATTTTTCAAAATAAAAAAAAACATGTTCCATAAAATACCGCGATACTCTCGTGATTGGATTAAAAATAAATCTGTGATTTGAACTGAGGGAGCAAAAGGAGAGAGGTACTGTATTACTTTGAAGTACTTTGAGAGTACTGTGTGCAGTAGTTTACCTGACGTCACTCTCCTTGATGTGTCCAGCCAGTTCTTCCACAAACTTCTCTCCCTTCATCCAGTAGATGATTGGCCGTCGGTTCTCTCCACTGTAGCCGAAGAACGCCTTACAGTCCAGACTGAGGGGCATACCTGCACCACACCACACCACACCACGGGGGGGAAGGGGGGGGGGGGGGTGGAAGAAGCTGAGGTCAAACTGTGTGTCGGCAAACCCACACACACACACCCACACACACACCTCCCACCTCCTGTAAGACCTTGAAGCAGAACACAGTGATTAAAGCTATCAGTGATAATGATCATTATGACAGACTGATGACAGGACCACCACAGGACCACCACAGGACCACCACAGGACCACCACAGGACCACCACAGGACACCACCACAGCACCACAGGACCACCACAGGACCACCACAGGACCACCACAGTACCGGTCCTCAACAGTAGGTGGAGCTGGAGAGCACTCAAACAATCACTGTAATAATTCATTCTTGATTAACCTGGTTTTTTGGCACAATAATAATAAAGAAATGAAATGTTTATGTACGAGTTGAGGCTGCAGTGACACACACACACACACACACACAAACACACACACACACCCGTCGAAGCCTGATATGAATTCTCGCGTCGTCACTCAGGTCTGTGAAAGACGTTCTTTTAATTTGACTGTTGACGATCAGCTGATGATTATGGGATGGAGAAACGCCCTGGAAACGCCGCCGCTCATTTCCTGTCTGACAGGAAATGAAGCTGCCACAAAATATGACAGACACACATTTGAATTTTAAAATTTGACTGAATATTTTCATATCTGCCTCTCACCCCCCCACAAACAAACCCCCCCACAAACAAACACCCCACAAACAAACACCCCCA